CCTCGTCAAGCGGCCTGACCAGTACAGGCCGTAGTTTGGCATCGCTTGGTATCTCTTGGAAGCGAGGGTGGTCAAAAGTTTTGGGGCGTTCGCAGGGGAGGTGCCCACAACGTCGACTCTTACGACAAGCCACCCAACTTCGACCACAACCACGAGCACCAGCACGACCACCACTAGTACGACCGACACGACCACCTCAACCACAGCAATCCGTACAACCTGGAGCCGATGTGCCTTCTGGCATTGTGCCGCTCATGCCCCCCGTTCAGGTCCGAAACTCGACACGAGGAAAAGGGGGATGCAGCCACAGCAATATTCCTGCTGTGCCCAGACACCTGGCGACTCGAGACAAACACGTCGGAGATGCTCCCGTATCATTTGGACTCCGTGGGCCGCTTTCAGGCCCTAGAATTGTCAAGAGAGCGATCCTGAAAGGACAGCGGGCACCAAGGGGAAGGCGTCGACAGTTCCAGGGGCCGGCGGCTCGAAGAGACCGAGCTTCTGGTGGGAGTTCTTGCAGAGTCCTGGGGCCCACGAGCTTATAAAAAGCAGTTCGCTGGAGGTCTAGGCATCCTCCACAGACCCGAGGATCAGGGGCAACCTTGTGGGGGGGAACTTCAGGTGTAGAAGGTTTCTGTAGGGCTTCTTTTTCTGAAGTTTTTGCTCGGGGTTCCTAAGTTTTCGGGATCTGGTGCACCTCGTCGAGGGCGTTCCGGCGGTGTTGGAATCGCCCCGAATTGCCGGTGGAGAGCCGAGCTCTGACCCGAGAACCATGGGAGCGTTGCTTGGGAGAGAAGCCCACTCTCTCCACCATCCATGCCATCCATGTGGCTGGTGTGGCTGGTTTTTCGTGTCTCGTTTGTCTGCGTTTGTCTGCGTTTGTCTGTTTTGTCTGCGTTTGTCTGCGTCAGCATCATCATCAGCATCATCATCAACATCATCATCAGCATCATCACCAACATCATCATCATCATCATCATGGACATCATCGTCATCACCATCAACGTCATCACACGTATGATCATCATCATCAGAATCGCCACCATCGTCATTATCGTCGTGGTCGTAGCCGCCACTGTCATTTACTTGTCCGTGCGGTCATCGACATAAGCACCGTCGTCGCCCCCGTCATCATTATCGGAGGAACGTACGGGATGAGGAGGCAGGTGGGGGGGACTTGCAACATAAGAACTAAACATTTTCGAGTTGGGTTGAGGGCTAGGGGCTTATGGTCACAATGCTTCTTCTTACCACAATATCATCATCATCATTATCCTCCTCTGCTTCTGCCCTCCACCCTTGCGTCCAAGGCCGTCACGGCCCGCGCATCCTTACCGCGCCGCCCAAGGCCCTTGCATTCTTGGACACTTGCACCCGTGCAGCCATGCACCATTGCATCCTTATCTTGCCGCCCGTAGCCCTTGCATCCTTATCGTGCGTCTTTTTATCAATGTTGACATTTGGTTCAGCGTTCTGGCCCAAGCGTTCTGGTTCAGCGTTCTGGCCCAGTCATGAGCCACCCCGTCCGCCTGCAGCTCGCGAGCGCGATTCGCGAGCTGCCCGAGGACGCGCTCGCCAAGGGCGCCCCGTTGTGCACGTGGAACCAACACGGCCGCAAGGCCATTTCACCTCCTCCTCTTCCTCCTCTTCTCCCTGCTCCGCCCCACTACTACTACTACTACTACTACTACTACTACTACTACTACTACTACTACTACTACTACTACTACCACCACTACTACTACTACTACTACTACTACTACTACTACTACTACTACTACTACTACTACTACTACTACTACTACTACTACTACTACTTCTACTACGGCTACGACTACGGCTACGGCTACGACTACTACTGCTACTGCTACGACTACTGCTACTGCTACTGCTACTGCTACTGCTACTGCTACTAATACTACTACTACTACTACTACTACTACTACTACTACTACTACTACTACTACCACTACTACTACTACTACTACTACTACTACTACCACTACTACTACTACTACTACTAGTTCTACTGCTACTGCTACTGCTTCGGTCACTGTTACTGCTGCTGCTACTACGTACTACTACTTATTCCTCGACTTCTGTGCCCCACCCAGATCAACCAGACGCTAACGTTCGAGCTCATCGACTGGGAAGTGGCCTTCTCCATCGTGCCTTATCTTTCCCATCCTCCTGCTCTTCCTCCTCCTCCTCCGTCCTCGTGCTCCCCTCGAGCACCTCATTCTCCACCCCCTCCTCGCCAGCCTTCTTATCCCCGTCCGACTCCTCCCCCTTACTCCCCCTGCAACCCTTCGCCGTACTTGCCTCCGCATCCTCTTCCTCCTCCTTCTCATCCTTCGTGGTGCTCTCCTCCTCCGTCCTCGCCTTCCTCGTCCTCTTCGCCATCCTCCTCCTCCTCCTCCTCGTCATCCTCTTCCTCGTCCTGCCCCTCCTCTTCCTCCTCCGCCTCTCGCGTTGCCAGTCCTCTCCTCATCCCTTTTTCGGTGCTGCAGCAGGGGGCCGATGCTGCCGTCGTCTGCTGCGAGGCCAAAAAGACGCTCGACCTCTTCTCGGGATATAGGAGGGCCTTGAGGACCGATTAGGGAACCAATATGACGACGGAGGAGAGGAGGTGGAGGTGGGGGAGGAGGAGGTGAGGAAGGATGAAGCGGATGAGAGGAAGAGGGGGGGAGGAGGAGGTGAGGAAGGATGACGAAGATGGCGAGACAGAGGAGGTACAGGAGGAGAGATGGCCACGAAGGATGAGAGGGAGAAGGTGGTGGAGGAGGAGGAGGTGAGGAGGTGGGGAGGAGGAGGAGGTGACGGGAATAAACTGCGAGGGGGAGGTGGAGGAGGAGGCGGAGGAGAGTGAAGGGGGGGAGGAGGAGGTGAGGAAGGATGACGAAGACGATGAGAAAGAGGAGGTATAGGAGGAGAGATGGCCACGAAGGATGAGAAGGAGAAGGAGGGGGAGGAGGAGGAGGAAGAGCAGGAGGGTGAGCAGGACGAGGAGGGCCAGGATGACTAGGATGAGTAGGAGGAGGAGAAAGAGGATGAGGAGGATGCACCACCCCAGGAACAAGTGGGACCTTGGCTTGGAGCTGCAGCGCCTGATGATGGCCCCTTTTACCCCGTCGCCCAAGCAGCCGAAGATCACAGTTCACAGCAGGGCGATGGTGCAGGGGATGATGTTCGACGGAGACAGCGATGCCGACAGCCTCGTCGAAGTATCGAGCGACGGCGGTCGGCGGGATAAATCGTCCTACTCGTCGTCGTCGTTGTCGTTGTCGTCATCCTCCTCCTCCTCCTCCTCCTCATCCTCATCCTCATCCTCATGCTCCCTCATCCTCCTCCACCTCCTCCTCCTCCTCCTCCGCCTCCTCCTCCTCCTCCTCCTCCCCCTCCTCCTCCTCCCAAAACCTCTCCTCATAGCACGTCCTGTATCTTCGTTGTCGTCGGTATTCCCCGTCTAACGTTTACGTCCCCCCCCATTCCCCGCTCCTCATCCCAACCCGCATCAACTTTTCTCCTCGGTCGGTCCTCCCTCCCCGCTCCCCTCACTCTCGTCGTCATCATCCCCATCCGTCCAATGCTCGTCCTCGCCGCCCTCGTCCTCCCGACTGCCCGCCCGAGGTGGCACGACGCGCCCTGCCAGGAGGGGCAAGACCGCGGCGGTGGCGCTTCAGGATTCCTCCTCCTCCTCCTCCTCGTCCTCCTCCTCCTCCTCCTCCTTCTCCTCCTCCTCCTCCATCTCCTTCCTCTCCTCGTTCTTCCCGTCTACCTCGTCCTCTACCCCCTCGGCAGTCAGCCTCATCCCTCTCTTCCTCAATCTCAGATTCCTTTTGCTCCCCTCCAGCGCACCCCCCTCCATCCTCCTTCTCGTCTTCTTCCTCTCCTCGCCGTGCCCCCCTCACCCTCCTCATCATTTGGCATGTGCCCACTCCTCCTCCGTGTGCCTCATCTCCCCCCTCCTCAGCCTCGCCCTCGCCACCTCCCTCCTCCTCCTCCTCCTCCTCCTCCTCCTCCCCATCGCCCTCCTCCTCCACCTCCCCCTCCCCCTGCTCCCCCTCCCCCTCCTCCCCCTCCTCCTCCTCATCGTCGCCGTTTCGTTCATCCTCGCCCCCCTCTGCGAAGAGGCCGTCAGCAAGGCGGGCGACGGCGCCCGCGCGGAGAGCGACGATGCTGAGGACGAGGGCGGGGACGGGCTGACCGAGGACGAGGACGAGGACGACCTCGAGGACGACGAGTCCGAGGAGCGCGAGGAGGACAGCGAGGCCGAGTCCGAGGAGCGCAGCGACAAGAAGATGCAGTCGATCGCCATGAAGCGCAGCGACAAGAAGCAGCAGTCGATCGCCACGAAGCGCAGCGACAAGAAGAAGCAGCAGTCGATCGCCGAGAAGCGCAGCGACAAGAAGCAGCAGCCGTCGATCGCCGAGAAGCGCAGCGACAAGAAGCAGGCACAGATCGCCGATAAGCGCAGCGACAAGAAGCAGCAGTCGATCGCCGAGCAGCGCAGCGACAAGACGCAGCAGTCGATCGCCGAGACGCCCATCGCCAAGAAGCAGGACGAGGCCTCCTTCACGGTGAAGGAGATCGAGGGCTCTCCGTGGGCGGTCCGCATCATAGACGGCGCCAAAGCCGACGACGTCATCCCGATGAAGGACGGGACCGCGTGCTGGACGTGGGAAGATGGTGACAGGTGGTGCCCGTCCCCGCCCATGGCCTTCCCCGACTTCAAGACGCCCAAGCGTGCGGCGAAGGCGGCGGGGGGCGTCAGCGGGTCGAAGGAGAAGGAGCCGAAGCTCGGTGGCAAGGCGAAGGGCAAGGGCAAGAAGGGCAAGGGCAAGGCTGCCAAGGCGAAGGGCAAGGATAAGGACAAGGACAAGGAGAGCTCCAAGAAGGTGGACAGGGACAAGGACAAGGACAAGGACAAGGACACCGACAAGGACAAGGACAAGGACAAGGACGGCGGCGACGACGGCACGGTGAACGACATCGACAAGGACGGCATCCAGGCGGACAAAGAGAAGATCATCGAGAGCCGCAGCTTGTGCGAGAGGGCTGGCGACTACAAGGTGTGATGGTCCCTCCGAATCCTCGTACTCGTCGTTTTCATCCTCCGTAAGCTTCACCCCTCTCCTCCTCACCAGTCCCGTCTTCTCCGATTCCTGCCTCGGCATGCTGCTGCCCCTCCGCATCATTCTCCTCCTCCGCAATCTCCTCTTCTCACCCTCCCCTACTCGCGCTCCTCCTCGCCCTCGTCATCCGCTCCCTCGGCGTCGTCGCCGTCGCCGTCGTCCTCCTCCCCTCATCCTTGTCCTCCCCATGCTCATCCTCATCATCATCATCATCATCATCATCATCATAGTCATCAGCATCCCCATCCCCATCCCCATCGCCCTCCTCGCCCTGCACGTTCGTCCGCCCTCCGTCGCCTGTAGGCGTCATCACTCCCCTCTGCGCCCTCCTCCTCACACCCCTATTCGCAATCCCCACCGTCCTACTCAGCCTCCTCGTCCTTCTCCATCCTCAAGCAACCCTCGTTCCCCCTCTCCTCATGTCACCTCCGCCGTCATCCTCCGCCCCCAGGTTGGGATATCGTCGCGCCCCAAGAAGGCCAACGGGGGCTGGGAGGTCCACATCCAGTGCAGGGGTGCCCAGAAGTGGTCCAAGCTCTCCTCCGGCATGGACCCGATAGGTGATGGCTCTCTTGAGGCGGCGGTCGTGCACGCGAACGGGATGGCCAAGAAGATGCACGAGGCGTCGGAGCACGACCACGACCACGAGGCCGTCGGCGACACCCAGGTTGAGAGGGACGAGGAGGTCCCCGACGCTGATATGGCCAAGATCCTCGACGGCGGCGGGCCCCTCGAAGCTGAGATGGCCAAGATCCTCGAGAACGAGGGCTGCGACGGCGACAACGGCAGCCAGAAGACGACGGACGCGGGGGAGACAGTGGTCGGCGACGACATCGAGGTGGAGAACAACCTCGACAAGCCTGAGAAGCGGCGCCGCATGACGGAGCCGCTCGACGACGCGCAAGGGGATGGTCATTTCGGCGCTTGAGTGCCAGACGGGCATGCGGCACGGCGTAGACGGAGGTGTCTCGCCACAGCCCGCTGCCAGGGGATCCAGAGCCTGCGAAAGGCGTGCTGGAATAAACGCTAGTGGTCCTCCGTGCGGGCAAGATGCATGTCCATATCCAGTGCCTCTTGGACGTTTTTTTTGGAAGCGGCGCCACCAGGCCGAGGCGCACTGGATATGGATACGCGCCCCTCACACGTTTCGTGGCTAGGGGCCCCACCGAAGGTCCCAGTGGCACAGGCCGCATGCGTCCATTTCGTCACACCCCTCACACGCTTCGTGGCCACATAGGAAACTCCACCGAAGGTCCCCGTGGCGCAGTCCGCGCGCGTCTCCCCCACCCAATACAACGTGCCGTGGCCGCACATGGGGCCCCAAAAGAGCACAAGAGCACAGACAATACCACCCCGCCTACGGCCTCACCCGTCGTAGCGTATACTAAGATATATGGCGCGCGGTTGCGCGTAGGATACGCCGCGCCACCCGATGGGCCGTGGCGCAAAATGTAGGGCCGTAGGTGGGGTGGTGCCCTTTGCGTTGTTGGTCGACAGTATCGCTCTCTCCCTTGGACTCCTGTTCATCTCCCAGCCCCCTCCTCCTCCTCCTCATCCTCCTCCTGCCCCTCCCCCTTCTCCGACTCATCCTCCACCTCCTCCTAATCCTCATCCTCCTGGCCCGAATCCGTCCATTAAGGTTCCTTCATCCGTGTCCTACTCCTCCTCGCCTGCCTCCCCCGAACAGCCATTTTGGCTAAGACGGGCGGCGGCCTGTCGCTCTCGGTGCTCGAGGCGCAATTGTGCATTCCAGATGTTCAAATAAAAGGGAGGGGGTCACAACCCTCCCAGCCGAAACGTTTTAGACCCCTCCAGGCCATCCATGAAAGGGCGGCCCTTCGCCCAGACCCCCCCCCCCCTCCCCCCGAACCCTCCGAGGCAGCTCAAATCAGACCACCCCTCCAAATGTGACCCCCCCAACACTTTATGATGGACTCTGGGGTGCATCAATGCAATCAGACGTCGTCTCCCTGCTAGAGGATACGCCGCCCACCGCGAGCAAACGGCCCCGCCTGAACCAAGTATCTGATTACAGCCGTGGTCACAAAGCAGGTTGGGATTGCGGCTATACGATGGGGTTTGACGCGGGCTACACGGCGGGAGATCATGCGGGCATGCTCCAGGACGGGGCGCCCAACCTCTTCGTCCTGGCCGTCGTCGTCCTGCCCCGTCTTCCCTCTCCTCCTCCTCCTCCTCCTCCTCCTCCTCCTCTGCTGCTCCTACAACAACAAGAGCAACAACAATTACTAATACGACTACTACTACGACGACTACCGCTACTACTCCTACTCCTACTCGTACAACGACGGTTACTACTACCACTGCTACTACTACCACCACCACCACCGCTACTACTACTACTACT